CTGGAACCGCGCCCCGTCGCACACGATGTTGAGGAACGCGTGGGTGCCGCCCGTAGCGTCGTGGGCGAACAGGGTGTCTAGCATCACGTGGAAGTTGAACTGGTAGCGCCCCGTCATCCGCGCCGGGCGGACATGCTTCGCCCTGATCATGTCGCCGCAGGCGTCGCACCTGCAGTCCCAGACGGCCTCCAGGAACTCCTTCTTCGCTCCCGATCTCCTCAAGCACCTCGCCAGCGTCACGTTGGTAGGGTGGCCGCGACTGCCAGCCACCGCGCTCGCCCCTCCGTCTCCCCGGGGGAGAGCGCGGGCTCGAGGTTCGCCGCCGCCTCGGCCCTGACGCCTGCCGGGTCCACCGCGGGCCCGTCCTCATTCGGAACTCCATCTCGTGGGGGGCCTTCTTGGGTAGGCCGCTCGCCCTCTGGGGCCGAGCGACTCGCCGTCCGCTGCTTGCCTCGAAGTCGCCGTCGCTTCGACTCCGGGAGCAGCTGCTGCGTCGCCTCCGTCGGGTAGCAGTCCACCACGCCAAGCCCCTCGATGACATGCTCGCTGACGTCCAGGTCGATCTGCTGCTCGATCGCGTGCAGGACAAGCCTGTCGAGCTTGTCGGGCCACCTGGCCGCGGCCCTGGTCTTCTTCTCGTTCTCGAGCGGCACGTGGTCGTGACTGTGGTCGCACTTCAGGTCACGCAGCGCCTCGTAGACCGCGACCGCTATGTTAAGGAACCGCTTCGGCTTGTAGCGCGGCTCGCCCGTCTCCTGGTCCGCATAGCCGAGCACGCAGCCATGGGGAGCGCACTCAAGCAGCACACCCTTCTCGACGAGCTCTCTGGTCCTCTTCATCTCGGGTTCGTTGTAAGCGCTGGGGCCGAGAGTCTGCTCCAGCAACACGTGCCTACCGCGGCTCGCGCGGTCCACCACCATCTGGTCCGCCAGGGCCAGCAGCGGTCTCGTCGCCTCCTGTGCCTCGTAGGCGGTCGCCGCCGCAGCGCCGCCCTTGGCCAAGATGCAGCGTCCCCAGTCTCCCCACGGGCCGCACAACATCGTGATGACCGTTATGTAGGGATCCTCCTCCAGCGACTGGTGGCAAGCGAACTGCCTGCCCTTCCGCGTAGCGCCGCCCCAGCCGTCGGAGATGCCCAGGGGCTGACCGCAGTTGTAGCCGCACGTGGCCGTCGCGAGCAAGACGAGGCCGAACTGAACGCAGAAGATCTGCTTGATCAGCGTCTTGCCCCTCGGTAGGCGCCTCCTCCTGACCGTAGCGCCGGCCATCACCTCCATGGTAGTCGCCTCCACGGTCATCAGGTCCTCGTGCATTGCCTGAACCTTCTTCGCGCGCCTCGAGCTCGCCATCCTCATGGACTCGTCCTCACCCCAGTCGATATTCTTGGGATCCTCGAAGACCTCCTCGATGGTCTCGACGTGGGTCCGCTCCGGCGCGCACGCGGCCAGCACCTCCGAGGAGTCGACGCGACCCGTATGGATGCCGCCGCCGCCCCGCCCGTCCTCAGGCAGAAACTCCTGGAACTCCTCGCCGAAGACGTTCGGGTCCGGGAAGTCCAGCAAGTTGACTCCGAGGTGGCCGCATGCCGTGTCGATGAGCTTGTAACCGTACACGCCGAGCTTGGTGAAGTCCACGATCTTCTTCTCAACGTCGATCATGGTGCCGGGCCTCTGCTGTGGGCCTCGGCTGATGAGCACGGGTGCGTCCTGGTCGAGCTCCGCCGACTCCAGTGCAAACGGCTGGCCGCCGATCCCTGCAGGCATGCTGTACACCGTGTCCGACCTAGCTCCTCCACCGACGCCTCGAAAGGTAGCGGTCTTGGAGCGTGGGTCCGTCTTCAAGCTCTTTTCGTGCAAGGCCTGCTCGTAGCTGATCCTCCAGGGTTTGCCGTGCATCGTAGCCTGGCACGCCGTGTCCAGAACTGCCACTCCCGGTGGACCCTTCCTCCTCGTAGCGTATGCGTCGACCTCGTCGGGCGCGGGATCGATCATCAGGACCTCGAAGCCCAGCGCGCCACTATCCTGCTCCTGCTGCGCCTCAGTGGCGCTGGCCGCACTCCACTCGCCGATCGCCGAGAGCCAGACCAGGTGCCACGCGAGCCGATACTGGTCGAGCCTGAGCTTGCCGCCCGGCGCCTCCTGACCCATGGACCTCTTGATTATGTTGACGCCGTAGGCCACCGCAGACGTCCTCTCAACGAACTCGGCGAACGCGAAGCCTGAGTACTTGCCAGTCTTGATCTTCTCGATGCCCTTCGGCGGGCCCTCGACGTTGAGGCCGTCCACGTCCTGGTCGAAGTCCGCCAGGTACGCCGCGTAGATGTCGTCGTCCTCCGCCTCGTGCTCCTCGGCCTCCGCGTCGGGGCTCACGGCCTCGCCGCCGTCCTCGGGCTCCTCCTCCAGGTCGGACCCGGGGACCTCCTCCGCCGTGCGCTGGATCCTCGGTGCTGCCGATCTCGACGAGCTCGCCTCTCCCGTGCCAACTCGGACGAGACGAGGGTGCCGCCTCAGCCTGGTTGCCGACCGTCGCGTCGTCCGGCGCCCGTCGTAGAACCTGCGCCCTCTCGGCGTGAAGAGCACCGAGCACATCATGAACCTCCCAAGTCCTTGCCCGTCTTTCGCCCAGTTCTCGTCGCACATGTGGCACGCCAGGTAGCGCGTGATCCCGTTGGCGCCCTTGAAGAGCCTCGAGTCCGCGTCGAGGGCGTGCTCGCAGGGAACGCCCATGACAGACAGGGGCGGACGGCTCCGTCTCAGTGGCGGTTCGTACGTGATGTCAATCGCCATCGTCCTCGGATCCACCTTCGGCTTGGGCTTGGGCTTGGGTCGAGCCTTGGGCCGAGCTCCTGGGCCGCTGACCGAGGAGACGCACGCGCTCTTGACGTCACCGCCGTCGCCGCTGTAGTCCGTCACGCTGAAGTAGCTGGCCTTCGGCCTGTCCGAGTGGGGCCGCGATGACCTCGATGACTTCGGGCAACTCGCATCTCCGTGCCAATGTCCGATCTGTCCACAACTCGCGCAGCGAGTCGTCTTCTTCAGCTTGTCGATGCGCGCGCGCCGCTCAGGGTTCTCGCCTGGGCTGCCCCTGCCACGGACCGCCGGCCTGCCCCTCGAGCTCGCCGCTGACTGCGACCGATCTCCTCGACCGCGTCCTCGGCTACGTCCTCGACCGCTGCCCTTGCCATGGAACTTCTGCTTGCGCTGAATGATGGCCGCGAAACTCTCGAGCGCCTCGTCGTCCATCTGGTCTATCTCGTCGAGCGTCGCCTCGCCCTCGCCAAGGTAGTTCTCGCGCGTGTCATCTCCGTTGATGGACTGGGCGCCCTGGCTGTTCGAGGCGGCGGCGTCGTCTTTGCACTCTCCATCCTCATCGATGCCGGCCTACCACGCCGACTTGTGCTGGTGGTGTCCGTGGTGCTGCCGTCTATGACCGAACCGCCGTGGTCGCGGGTCCGGCCTCTGGTCACTCTTGCCCTTCCACTCTCGCTTGTGGATGTTCGGATGCTGCATGCGCAGGGCCTTGCCGAATGCGTCCTTGTCGTATCTGTTGCCCGCGCTGCTGATGATGCTAGCACGGTCGGACTTCTCGAGTCCAGAGAACTTCAGCAGCAGGTGGGCTTGCAGGTCGTTGCTGATGCTGGTCTCCTCGCTGACCTTCTTGAGGTCGTCGAACGCCTTCGACCGTCTGGCGATATACTCCTGCATGCTCTCGCCTGGGGACCTCCACACCGACTTGTCGTACAGCGCGCCATCGAACAGCTCAGCTGCCCGAGCAGGTCTCTCCTTCAGCACGGACTATCCCAGCGTGTTCAACAATAACTCCAGTCCGTCGGTGGTCGCCCTTTTCTTTTCGTAGCTGCCGCCGCCCTTGCCTCCGCTCTCGACGGTCTCCGTCTCGAAGGTGAGCAGCTGCTGGTGAGTGAGCGACCTGACCGCGTCGTAGGCAGTGCCCGAGAGACCGTTCCTGAGGTTGATGGGCGTCGCTATCTGCTTCTCATCGCCCATGCGCCCAAAGAAGGCATCACGGGCTCGCTCTTGGCACTCCTCGAAGAGCTAGCGCAGGATCGCCGTCATATAGCGGGATATCCTTCTCGAACTCCAGCTTCGACACTTTTGACATGGTCGCAGAACTGCACACCGCACTCGTGGCGCGGCTGCCGGAAGTAGTTGTGGGAGTCGCAGTGGAACTGCTGCACACCTCGCGTGGCGCGGCTGCCGGGTCGCCAGACACCGCCCAGGTAGTCCAGCTTGTGTGGGTACGCCAATCCCCACGCCGTGGATGCCGGCCTGCTCCCTGCAGGCTGGCGCGCTGCCCCCGCCACGGGGCGCGCTATGCAGACCTCCGCGCAGCTGCTGCGGAGGCGGGAGCTGGCCGGGGCGAGTGTGCCAGCTCCGCTACCATCAAGTAGCGGGCCGCCGCCCGCGATCGTTTCTGGTTTTCTGCGCCGTAAACTCAAGAGCTCTGTGAACCAAACGTCAGCGGTCTGAGCGGGTGAGAGGGGCAGCGGCACTGGCAGGCTGGGAAAGGGATGATCGCAGATGCAATTCAACATCCTCCTCCTCCTCCTCCTCCTTCTTCTCCTCTTCCCCGTTCGCCCAGGGGGGCGTACTGGGCCACTGGGCCGCGCTGCCCGCACGTCACCTGCTGGACCTGGCGGCCCTGCGGGCGGCGCTGCCCCTGCGGGGCTGGGAGCCCCCAGCCGCCCAGCCCACGCAGGCAGCCAGCTCTCCGCTTGGCTGGCCAGGACCGCGAAGGCCAACATGATGCCGCGAACGGCCACATCGTGCGCCCGTGGGCGCGCCTTGAGGCCTATACTGGAGGCCCACCGGACCACCTGACTCTAGCCGCCCAAGGCTGCAAGGTGCGAACAGCGGAGCCCAACGCAGCCCCGCCCGCTTCCGCGTGGCCTGCAGCCTAAGCAACACAGACTACATGATCTGGGTGGGCCCACAAGCGGAGTCCCCGAGCCCCCCGACCGAGGGCCCTCCTGAGCCGCCGACTGCGGCTGCGGAACGGCTCCACCGAGCCCTCCGGCTCGCCCGCCAGGGACCTCGCCCTGCCCCTGCAGCTCGGCGACCTCTGGCCACGCACTCACTGACGAGCACGCGATGACATAAACATAAACTGGAGGTCCGCGCTGATTTCTGGGAATGGCGTTGGGTCCGGCATGTCCTTTAGACGAAAATAAAAAACAGTTCAAATACCCTGGCATGGTCACACAACGCTAAACAAATCGTCCCAAAACTATGTTTGAGCATTTTTGAATATTTCCTCTGTAGGGGGACAGGGCCGATCTAAGATTGGCGCTGGGCTCTGGGGCGCGCCAGAGGCGGCGCCAGAGGCGCGCCAGCAGGGTGCTCCAGCGCCGATCCGAGAAGCCCGTGCGGACCTCCGAAAGTTTATGTTTATAAACTCATAAGAATAAACTGTTGGCGCCCCGCGCGGATTTCTTGGATTCGCGCTGGACCCCCCTCCCTGGCGCGCGGAGCGCGCCTGGGACGGCGCCGGAGGCGCCGCCGGGGGGCCCAGACGCGGATCCAAGAAATCCGCGCGGAGCGCCAACAGTTTATGTTTATGTTTATGTTGCCTTTTTCTTCTTCGAATATCATATCTCTTTCCCGAACGCAAACGGTGAAACTGGGCAAGAGTGACCTTCGGTGCGCCGCTTGCCGATCTCTGCATGCGATTCGGCAGCAGCGGCCTGTGCGTTCGGGCTTGGGCCCCCCGCGGCCCCCGAAAGCTGCTTTGCCAAAGAGCACTCCGGCGATTGGTCACTTGGCTTTCGGGTCACAACTCGGGGATCTTCTGACCTGGGTCAATCCAGATCTGGGTCAGTCAGGCCTTGTAGAATACTGCAAGATCCTGCACCCAAGCCTGGGTCAATGCCAAGGATCCTGCAAGATCCTGCAGGAGTCTGCACTTACACCTGGGCCAATGCGACCCTGGCCCTGCAGGATCCTGCAAGATCTGGCGCTCTGGCTGACCCCCGTTTGCATTGAACCCTGCCTCTTGAGCCCGGAACAACGTCATAACTCGGGTCGCCGGCGGCCCTTCGGAACGACGCGGGCATCCCGGAACGCTCTCGGCGAGGCGCAGCTGCTGGAACGCACCCCGAGGCTGGAAAGCCGCCGAGCTGGCGACCCCGCTCGAAACCTCGAACCTCGCATAAGTTGGAGGGGGGAAGGAGGAGGAGGAGGAGGAGGAGGAGGAGGAGGACGAAGAGGAGGAGGACAAAAAGGAGGAGGAGGAGGACCCGCTTCCCCTTCGACTGATGGTGGTGGTGGTGGAGGAAAACAAGCCCATTATTTCTTACGGCAGGTTCGTGTCGTGCCGACCCCGGCGTTGGTTTCTGACACCGCGGGGATCGTTCAACCTTGAACGATCGGCCGTTTCCGCAAGGTCCAATCGTTCAACATCGATCGATTCTGGGCCGCCGCCGGCGTTCAAAGTTGAACGCCGCTGGCGGGGTCGCCGCCGGTCGACACGACACGAACCTACCGTAGCGAGGCGCACCCAGAGTCAGGACATCGGCGGCGAGCCCGGGGGGGGGACGCGAGCAGGCGAGGGCCTTCTCTCCGAATAGGCTCGGATCCAAACCCCCCCGGCCTGCCGAGAAGGTTCCTAGTTAGCCATCCCCGGAGGCGCAAAAATCACCTCGCAGAAGGCGCTCCTCCTCGCTCCTCCTCGCTCCTCCTCGCTCCTCCTCGCTCCTCCTCGCTCCTCCTCGCTCCTCCTCGCTCCACCTCGCTCCACCTCGCTCCTCCTCCTCGCTCCTCGCTCCTCCGCGGCCCTGCCGCCCGTGGACTCCGCCCCGCCGCCTTCTGAAAAGGCTGAGGTCGGGCATGTCTCCCTACGGGCGGCTTTACTCAAAACACGCCCCAACATTGATAAAACAAGAACCCAAAACTCGTCCCGAGGCTATTTTTTGACTGTTTCTGCATGTTCCTCCTGTGGAGGGACAGGCCCGACTCGAGAGAAGGCCTCCTCCTTCTCTCTCTTCCCCACCTCGCTCTCCCCGCCGAGGAGAGAAGCCTCCGGGAGCCGAAAGAGCCATCGCCCAAGAACGCCCTGCCGCTGGGACCTGCCGCGCCCACGCGCGCCCGCGAGGCAGCCCTCCGGATCCGCCGCGCCAGCGGTGTCCGCCAGCTCGTCCCGCGCGCGCTGCGCGGCGCAGGCTTCCTGAGGAAGGACAAGCACATGATCACACATGGGCAACAAAACATCCGGTCTCATGATCCGCACCCCGACAAGGCAGGCCGTTCAGCAAACGCACTCGAGGAAGGGAGGGAACAGGGCAGGGCTGTTCAGCAAACGCCCAGGGCCGCATTCTAAGCGTCACTGATCGGAGACGGGGTGGTTCTTCCTCTCTGGCAGAAGCTTTCGGAGGGCCGCGCGGACCTCCTGGATCGGCTCTGGACCGTGTGGCACCGTGTGCGACATGATGAAAGGGAGGCGAGGTCAGGATGCCAGGCTTCGGTCGGGCATGTCCCCCTACAGGCGGATTTGGGACGAAAAATCAAAAAAGACTCAGAACTAGATTCAAACAGTACACTAACAAATCGTCCCTAAACTTTGTTTTCACTATTTTCGAATATTCCTCCGGTGCAGGGACAGGCCCGACTTAAATGCAAGGCCCTTGGGCATCCTCCAGGGGCCTGGCCAGCGAAACAAACAGTCAAGGGACGGCCGCAGAAGCAGGGGGATGCAAGATCACCCTTGGCGCCTTGATCGCCCTAGTGATGCGGAATGAATTGGCGGCGCGCGCAAGGAGGTGGAGGGAGGGGGGAGGGCTTCTTAGAAGGAGGCTGCTTCTTAGAAAGCGCTGGCCTTACATCTTGAGATAAGGCACGCGCCTTCTAAGAAGCAGGGGTGCTTCTAAGAAGTCATCCCCCCTCACCCCACCCCCCTCTGCACGCGGCTGATTGACTGTGTCGGTGTCTCAGCAGCCGACGTTTTGAAATCCCGACGCTTTCCGAGGGGCCGATTCTTCATCCCGAGTCGTTTTGGACGGTCCAGGGGCCCGGCGAGGGCCCCCAGAGGCCGAAAACTGCAAGAAACCTCCGCATTGTTTCTTTCAGCACGCTGGAGGTCTGGGGCATCCTTTAGTAGACAAGCGCGTTGAACTAATTCCTCGCAGGGGAACTACTCGCAAGTGGCCTGGATCCGCCGCGGAGATTTTCGACGATCCTTTCTGCCGAGGCGAACATGTGTTTTTTTTTCCGACGTTTGTGAGTATACGCTTTTCGAGTGGTGGAACGCGCTCGGTGATTTAGAAGAACAACAGAGACGGCGTAACCATGTGCATCTCCGCGTGGATCTCCTGGAGCATCGGCGTCAGCCCTCCCTCCATCTATGCTTGGCGCACGGAGGCGCCGCCAGGGGGGGAGGGGGGGGGGGGGGGGGGGCGAACTCCGATCCAAGAAATGCGCGCGGAGGTCCTCAAGTCTCTGCTCACCCTGACATCATTTTCACTTTCGTCGGCTTCGATTATGCCGGCTTTGATGCCAATTTCGTCTCCCCTCTTCCTCGTTCCTCGTCGTCGTCGTCCTCTTCCTCCTCCTCCTCCTCCTCCTCTTAGGAGCCAGGCTATTCGACATATGGTTTGTTCCGCTCGGTTGCCAACGGAACAGCCTCGAGTCTGCCGACACGTCCTTATGGATGCATGGCTTTTGCTTGCTTGTTCCACATCCGCCGATCTGAATATTCAATCCGCGGCCCCAACGTCATATCGATAGATCGAGCCGGATCGTCGCGAGCGTCGGGTCTGCAGGCATCTGCTGAAAATCGGCTCCGCCATCGAATCGGCAAAAAACAGCAGAGCCGAACCAGATCGAGTCGGACACCGGATCGTGCCATCCAGAAACTGGACCGACCCGGAGACCTCTGGGGCGGCGGATTCCGCAGCCCCAGAGATCCCGGCCGCTTCCCGGGAGGTAGTTTCTCGCCCCAAGATCCGTGCTTGATGGCCACAGGGACCGATAGCAGGCTGCAGAAAATGACAAATGAAGGGAAAACGCCAAGATCGACGAAACCACATCTTCGGAGATCTGGATGAGTAGTTCGTTCTGATGTGCATAGAGGCTGGAAAACGTGGGCTCTGGTAAGACATTCCATGAAATGGGGAGTGGCAAACCCAGCAGGGGCTGCAGTCCAGCCCGAGACAACTGATATGCGGTCGCCAGGGCTCAAAACAGAGCAACGGCCGGCTCGAGCCACCTCTTCCAGCTTCACCTGAGATCAGACGTTAGAAAACAGTTGCATACGACGAAAACATAATTGAGACAAACTTGGACCGACGTAAATCGGAAATCTCTGAAAATCGGCGGCTCAGGAGGATGTCTCGGGCGCCGCGGCCTTCTCACAGCGTTCCTGAACGCTCAAGCGTTTTGGAACGCCCTGGAATGGATTCATCTAGAATTTTCAGGCCCGTCCGACGTTGCAAAAACAGCTGCAGCATTGCAAAACGTGCGACCAGAGTCTTGGACCCCTTCTTCCCGCGCCATTTTTTGAACCAGATCGATCTGTGACCCGTGGCCCGAAATAGAGCGAGCACGACCACTGTGCAAAAATTGCTGGCCGCTGTGCGGGCACGCTTTCAAGGTGCCTCGCGGTTTCCTTGGCACGTGTTTGGCGTGTCAGCTTTCCCTCGCTCTTGCACGAATTTGGCGAGTCTGCCCACGCGACCAGACGGACGCAAGGCTCAGGGGTGGTGGGGCAAAAATTGCAACGCCCAAATCTCAGGGTCCCTGGGAACACCAGAAGGTACCAATACCGCTGCTCCCCAGACCTCTCCCAGGGTGCGTTCCGACCGGAGTTCCGAGGCGAATCCGGCGGTGGCGACGAGGGCCGCCCAGGAGACCCCCCAAGGGCGAGGAACGAAGCAGCGGTCGCGGCACGGGCACCTCTCCCTCCTCCTTCCTCCACGCGGCTGTCCCTCCCTCGAGGCCTCCGGGGCGCCGCGGCGCGCCCCTCGGCAGCGCGGCGGCTCGGCGGCGGCCGCCTCCGCCGCGGCGCCGCGGCAGCTCGGCGGCGGTGCGGTCGACCGCGGCAGGGCCTCGGGCGGCCTGCGCGGGGCGCCGCCGCGGTCGGCCTCGGGGCGCTCGCGGTAGTACCGCGGGCACTCCGCGGGGCCGCCGCGGCCTGGCGGGGAAGGGCCGCGGGCGAGGGGAGGCCGGGGGGTCGAGGCCGGGGGGGGGGGGGGGGGCTCAGGGGCTCGAGGAGGAGGAGGAGGAGGAGGAGAAGATGGAGGAGGAAGGGGAGGAGGAGGAGGAGGAGGGGAGGAGGAGGGACTCGAGGAGGAGGAGGAGGAGGAGGAGGAGGAGGAGGAGGAGGAAGAGGAGGACCAGTGTCAACCCAAGAGGCATCGACGATGTTGGAATACACCTTCCCTCCAAGCCCCCTCTGCACAGGCCCCTAGAACGGCCCATGTCCACTGAGGGAACTGCCTCGTTGGGAGACATCCGTGTGAAGACCCTGATGCGTGCCCAAACATTGTTCTCGGGATTCTACCGCCACGGATCAACCTGTTGCGTCCTGACGATCCTAAATCGTGCCAAGACGCCACTCCTGGAATTTCAACACCACGAATCAACGCAACTGTTACAACCTCATAATCCTGAATCCTTCCAAAACGCAACTTCTGGTACGCTGGTCATGGGAACCCGTGGAACTCTTGCATTTGGTATACAAAACGAATGTGCGCGGCGCTAAGGCGAGAACCACAATTTAAAAAGAAGCCGCCCTCAATCCGTGAAGTTCTCGCATGTTTAAAGCGACTGTACGCGGCGCTGAAGCAAGAACCACATTTGGAAAACGGGTCGCCCTCAAAGGGCTACATGTTGAAAACGGCCCGTCCCCCTATGTGTAAAACCACTGCCAAATTTTAAATTTCATGGTGAAAGAATCTCAGGCGAAACACCGGGACCGCCTTAAAAACTGCCCTCGGGGTGCGACAGGGAGAAGTTATGAAGAATGAACAAGAATGGAGGAGGGGGAGGAAAAGCAAGAGGAGGAGGAGGAAGAGGAGGAGGCGGAGTTGGAGTTGGAGTTGGAGGAGGAGGAGGAGGAGGAGGATGAGGAGGCGGAGGAGGCGGAGTTGGACTTGAAGGAGGAGGAGAAGGAGGAGGAGGAGGAAGAGGGGGAGGTGCCAGGGCCGGGGGAGGGGGAGGAGGGGGGGAGGTGGAGAAGGAGGAGGAGAGGAGGAAAGACGCGGAGTTGGAGTTGGAGGAGGAGGAGGAGGGAGGAGGGGGAGAACGAGGGAGGAGGAGGAGGCGGGGAGGCGGAGGACTTGAGGAGGAGGAGGAGGAGAGGGAGGAGGAGGAGGAGGAGGAGGGAGGAAGAGGGGGAGGTGCAAGGGGAGGGGGAGGAGGGGAGGGGAGGAGGAGGAGGAGGAGGAGGAGGAGGAGGAGGAGGAGGAGGAGGGAGGAGGAGGAGGAGGAGGGAGGAGGAGGAGGAGGAGGAGGAGGAGGAGTAGGGGGAGGAGGAGGATGAAGAGGAGGACGAGGAGGCAGAGGAGGAAGAGGAGGAGGCATACTTTGAGTTGAGGGAGGAGGAGGAGGAGGAGGAGCAGGAGGAGCAGGATGAGGAGGCGGAGGCGGAGTTGGAGTTGAAGGAGGAGGAGGAGGAAGAAGAGGAGGAAGAGGAGGAGGCGTAATTTGAGTTGAAGGAGGAGGAGGAGGAGGAGGAGCATGATGAGGAGGCGCAGGCGGAGTTGGAGTTGAAGGAGGAGGAGGAGGAGGAAGAAGAGGAAGAGGAGGACACAAACGCGTTCCACTACTCGCAAAGTAGCTGCTCGCAAATGGCCTGGATCCGCCGCGGAGGTCTGTACGCTTCTTTCTGCCGGAGCAAACGTGTGTGTGTGTGTGTGTGTGTGTGTGTGTGTGTGTGTGTGTGTGTGTGTGTGTGTGTGTGTGTGTGTGTGTGTGTGTGTGTGTTTCAGGCGTTTGCGAGTCGGCACTCTGCGAGTGGTAGAACGCGCTCGATGGGGTTCGAGGCCCGAGGATCCAGGGTTGATGGGCCGATGTTCCACCACCGCTACCATAGGTAGGAAAGTGAGGAGGAGGAGGATGAGGAGGAGGGAGGAGGAGGAGGAGGAGGACGAGGACCTCCCGTCCTCCCGTCCTACCCATGGTCGTGGCAGTGGAAAATTGACCCATCAGAGGCTAGCTCCCCGCCGGGGCTTTCGATCGTCCTGGGGCGCCCTCGCGGCCACGGATGGATCCACCTCAGAATCCTGGGCGCGCCCCGGGAGAGGCCCAGGGAAAGATGTCTGACTTTTGGAAAGCTACAAGTTTTAGGTCGGGCATGTCCACCTACAGGCGGATTTGTTGAGGAACCATAGAAAACAGTCAAGCAAATGCTCAAACATGTTCAAACCACTGGTCGAAACATCGTCCCCATACATTGTTTTGAAGCATTTTGGAATCTCCCCCCCTGGTAGAGGGACAGGCCCCACTTCAAGCTACAAGTTCGAGGCTCGACATTCCCACGCGTCTTCGTCGATTCTCGGCTGCCCTCCAGCCTCGGGGTGCGTTCCAGCGGCTGCGCCTCGCCGAGTGATCCGGGGTTGTCTGGATCGTCCAATTGGACGCCCGAGTTATCCGGGGTAACTCGGGTCCGGGGTAACTCGGGTTTGGGTTCCCGAAAAACGAACCCGAGTTATCCCTGACCCGAGTTATCCCTGATGATTCGGGGCTCTGGACGCCCGAAATATCCGGGGTAACTCGGGTCCGGGGTAACTCGGGTTTGGATTCCCGAAAAACGAACCCGAGTTATCCCTGACCCGAGTTACCCCTGATGATTCGGGGCTCTGATCCAGGGTTGTCTGGATCGTCCCGAACGGCCGCCAGAAGGCCCGAGCCACAATCCGAAGACCGAGCTCGGCGGCGCGCCGGGGCGAGGCAGGCGCAGGCCTGCGGATTAACTATGGGGAACCCGTAGGTCTCCAGAGACCCCCAGGGAAGGAATCTGGCGACCTACACCTTAGGCGATGCTTAAGAAAACCAAAGTTTTCGGCCAGAGTCTCGATGATTCTTAATGTTTCAATGTAAATCCTAAGATTTGAATGGGCATTCTGGGTTTTTATTTAAATTCTGAGACTATCAATTTCTTAACCCATGATTTCTAAAGCATTTCGCAGGGTGTATGGGTTTGCCATAATTCGGAACTGTGGGAAGCCCAAAAATGGACGACTGCCGGCGCAGAACCCCTCGCGTCGCAGACAGAATCACGGCAGACCCTGCCAGACGATCTGTTCGGTCTCTGGGGTTCCCTGCCGGGCCACGGGGCCGTCGAGCCCAGTTCAGGATGAAGTCCAGCCATGGGGAAAGGGTCGACACCTATGGAGGTCCACGTGGCGAGATTAGAAAGGCGAAGGGCCCAAGCAAATCCAGATGTGAGTGCAGCGCTGCGGGTACCGCGCTCGGTGGAGCTCCTTATGAAGCTACGGAGCGCGTGAGGATTGTGCCGTAACGGGTGGGGGGGGGCAGGCGGCCGCGGCCTTTGGGTTTTCGGTCGAGCTCACTATGAAGCCACCAAGCGCTGTACAGGGTGGGGGGCGCATGCGAACGTCGCCTCTGGGGCCTTCGGTGGAGCTCCCTATGGAGCCACGAAGCGTTGCACGGAGTGGGGGGACCCGCATGCGAACGTCGCCTCTGGGGGTAGAACTCCCTATGGTGGGTGCCACGAAGGGCTGCACTGGGTGGGGGGACGACATGCGAACGTGGCCTCTGTGGCCTTCGGTGGAGCTCCCTATGAGGCCACGAATCGCTTTATTGGGTGGGGGTACCGCCTGCGAACGTCGGCTCTGGGGCCTGCGGTGGAGCTCCCCATGGGGCCACGAAGCACTGCACTTGGTGGGGACGCAGCATGCGAAGGTCGCCTTTGGGGCCTTCGGTAGAGCTCCTTATGCGGCCACGAAACGCTCTACTGGGTTTGGGGGGCCGCGAGCGAACGTCGCCTCTGGGGCCTTCCGTGAGGTTCGCTATGCTGCCACGAAGCGCAGTACTGGGTGGGCGCACCGCATGCGAACGTCGCCTCTGGGGCCTTCGGTGGGTCTCCCTATGGGGCCACGAAGCGCATACGGACGTCGCCCTACGTGGCCACGACATATTGCAGGGGGGGGGGACCGCCTGCGAACGTTGTCTCTGGGGCCTTCGGTGGAGCTCCCCATGGGGCCACGAAGCGCAGAAGTGAGTGGTGGGGGGACCATATGCGAACGTCGCCGCTGGGGCCTGCGGTGGATCTCCCTATGGGGCCACCAAGCGCTGACTGGGTGGAGAAACCGCATGCGAACGTCGCCTCTGGGGCCTTCGGTGGATCTCCCTATCGAGCCACGAAACGCTGCACCTGGTGGGGGGAACCGCATGCGATTGTCGCCTCTGGGGCCTTCGATGGAGCTCCCTACGGGGCCACGAATTGCTTAGTGGGTGTAGAAACCGCATGCGAACGTCGCCTTTGGGGCCTTCGGCGGAGCTCCCCATGGGGCCACGAAGCGCATGCGAACGTCGCTTTATGAGGCCACGAAACATTGCATTGGGTGGGGGAGCCGCCTGCGAACGTCGCCTCTGGGACCTTCCGTGGGGTTCGCTATGGGACCACGGAGCGCCGTACTGGATGGGAAAGCCACATGCGAACGTCGCCTCTGGGGCCTGCGTCGGAGCTCCCCATGGGGCCACGAAGCGCTGACTGGGTGTGCTGTCATTGTAGACATGCGGAGGGGAGGGAGGAGAGGGAGGAGGAGAAACGCGGGGCGCAGTCGCTTCAGAAGGGGGAACGACTTGTCAAGGATGCAGTGGTATCCCTGGCAACTCGCTCGCCCTCGTGATGCCGTCTAGCTGCGTCGGTGTCTTCTCCAGAAGAACAATGGTGTAACCATGCACATTACGAGCTGCGCGCGGATTTCTTGGATCGGCAAGGTGGCCCCAACGCAGATACAAGAAGCCCCTTCGGAGCTCCGAGAGTGCATGTTCATGTGAAGGCGTCTTGTTCGGTGCTCCTCCGGCGTGGGGGTTGTCATGGAGGGCCTGGGCCTTGAGGGAAAATTGCGAGGAACATCCCAAAAACATCACGCGGCGTCTTGAGACCCGCTTTACGCCAAATCCAACTCGAATCGCGCTGTACTTACGTCGGAGCATCGCCGCACGTCGTATTATATCCCACGGGGCGGACGTGTGGACTGGGAAATACAAATACGCCGCGCGAGGCCTTTCGGATTTTCCTCATAGAGAAAAGGGTCCTGCGCCCTGGGGCCTTCCCCAGGACAAGTTCGCCTTCCCCAGGACAAGTTCTTCATCGTGAATCGTTTTCTGACAGTCCCGGGGCCCGTGGAGGACCCTGGTAGGTCAAGAGCAGCGGAAAGCCTGAGGACCCGCTTGCTTGTCTTGAAGAGAGACAGCATACCCTTCAACAGTACGCCTCATAGTGGAAACTGCCTGGGGCACTCCACGTGCGCATGGCGCCGCATCCTGCGTTGACCCCAGCGGGGCAGCTCATCGACGTCCAAGAAACAACCGAATGTATCCGGCGAGACGCACGTCGATGAGCGACACCGACCAGGGACGGCACCGGAATACTCGAACACCAATGTCGAGTGGACCAGTGCAGATATCCTGTTGACTTGTCTGGGCGAGCGTCCACTCAATGCCTGATTCATGGCGAGCAACAGGCGACCTCAACCACATAACCACATCGATAAAATACCCTGGGGGATTGTCGCGTGCATGCGGACAATCGTCAGAACACCGAAGCCAGCTTCGTGCTGGTTGTGGGCGACGTGGCGTCAGAGGACGGCCGCATCGACCACGACCACAACCCGAAAGCATTCGCGTCGAGGTCGGTGGGTTTTTCCCCGAAGCGACCTCCCGAAAAATACACCGAATTGTGGTTGTGGCTCGTCGCTGCGCCCAGGAGCAAAGACGCGCCGCGGGCCTTCGACCAGCCGGAGGAGAAGGTTGTTCTTCTCCCGGCAGAAGCCCAGCTCGAGGTGCGGCTCCACGGCCGCGTCGAGCGCACCGGGATCCCGGCCGTGGGCCTGCTGCGCGCGCGGGCGCGCGTGGGGGAAGGGGTCACCTGCGCCCTCTCACTTGGCGGCGCGCACAAGGAGGTAAGGGGGGGGAGAAGGCTTCTCAGAAACAGGTTGCTTCTCAGAGGGCGCCGGCCTTACATCTACAGACAAGGCCCGCGTCTCCTAAGAAGCAGCGGTGTTCCTAAGAAGCCTTCTCTGTCTTTTGCCTAGATATGCATAGCCCCTGCACAATGTTGCGTTGATAAATCGTGGTCAATGGGCTTCGCCGATGACATGGGGAAGAAGGGATAATGCCGTCAAGCATACACTAGGGCAGCACTGAAAAGAGGAGGCCAGCCCGCCGGCCGACGCCCGCGCGCGCAGCAGGCTCGCTCCTTTTTCCGTCTCCCCAGAGCCAAAGTGCAGCTGCAGGAGAGAAGCGGCCAGCGCAGCAGACAGTGCATGCAAGGCTGAAGAGCAAGATGGGCAAGAGGATGGTGGCGCGGAAGGGGTGCATGGACTCCCCCCGCGACGGGGTCCGTAGAGTCGCCCCGACACCCAACCCACCTGGCCTGTACATACGTACAGCCACCGGAACGAAACACAAAAGCATCTTACCGCTCAACGGTGGTTGCCAGGGGGCGGAAGACCGAAGTGACCCGACGTGCCCCGCCTGAGATAATACTTCCCAGCTCAGGCCACAATGCCCGTGCACACCTGGTGCACCCGCTTCATGATGAACAGTGGACCGGCACCGACGAAGTCGCACTGCTCCGTTGTACTGCATCACCTCTGCCATTCACTCCTCCATTCTCGAGAATCATCCGACGTCTCTGTTGCTCCAGTTCCACTGATACTGATCTCTTGAATAACTGTCATATATATCTTCTCTTCTGCTCGAGCTCCAGCTGTTTGGCTGACTCTTGCCCTGGCCCATCTCACGCGGCCTCGCCTTTCGCGGCGGCGGCGGCGGAGGCTCTGGCAAGGTGCTCGGCGTCCAAGAATCACGTTTGAACTTGTCGCTGTAGTCGTTTAAGCTAAACCAATGCCAGGTTTTGGTATGACCAGTGCCATTCTGGTAACGAGATACATGTACGTAGTATCCTTGAACTTCCCCATTCTCATTCTTGTCCGCATGGTCGGTCGTCGCGTCGTCGCCGCAGCCCATGGCCGGCCAGGGGCCGCCGCCATCGCTCGCGCGACCGCCCGGCTCTACAATGGACTCATCTGCCCAAGACTGGGCCCTATCATAGTTAACCCAACCAGAATTGGCGCCCAATGCGGCTGGGCCGGCGGGCGCGGGAGCATGAGGAGCGGCCCTATGGGATTGCCTCCCTCCCCGATGCCTGTCTTGATGCTGGGCGAGAATGCCGCTGAGCTCGCAGCCCCGATGCGGCGGTGCCGCTCGGGGTGTCCTCCTCAGCGATCATGATTGCGGCGTCTGCTGAAGACTCAGCTGGGATTGTCTCTGTGAGAGAGTCGGCTGGGCCGCTCTCCTCCAATTCTTTGCATGGCAATTAGTGAGACCAATGGCATTGTCTGTGCTGAAGAATCCGAAACAGCTGTGGGCTAGACAAGTCTTGACGCTGAAGTGAGGTTCCGTAGTTCCGTAGACATACGCATGAAAACATTAGCATCTTGAGTGCTTAAACAATTCTGTCTGGCGGTCTCTGATACTTGATTTCCCAATCCCTTGGTCCATTCATGAAGAACGTCGAATGAATAATAGCGGATCTAATTCGTCAATCCAAAGCGTGAGCATCGCGCGTTGCTTCAAGAGCTGCAGTCGTATAGTTCGTGTCGCGCTGTACTTCGTATCCCGGAACTGCAGTGGTGATTCCCGCAGACATGAACAATAACATTACTTCTCGTACATCTAGCAGGATCCGTCCATCTCCCGTGATTGGGGATTCGGTCAAATGGTCGGTTCCATATTCTATTCGCGGGCTCGGACAATGCAGGCGGCACATCATGAATAGCTTTAGTGCCCAATGGCATCGTAGTCGGGGATGTCTATAAACATTCAAAAATGAATGTGTCGCAACTTTGATAATTCCTGGCCTATCATATGACTCAACATTGTACTTTGTACTCGACATGCGGCCAGAAAGAGAAATCATATCAAGCCAAAAGAGCAGCGTTCGCATCGGGTTAATCAGCAGGCAACGCTGGGCAATGCGTCGATTGCATGCGCCAACCGACAGCGCAGCTTTCTCTTCACGGGCTAATATTGCTTCATCAGTACGGCTGGGCCGATGATGGACTTCAGCAAAAGCCCGGGAATCTATGTCTCCAACTTTGTTCGATACATAAACCCGGTTGGCCTCGTTCAAGTTATCCGTTAACACTTGAACCGATGGATTTGTTCTCCATTTTCCATCATTTCTCGTTCCCATTGGCCCCAGCCCGTCTCTGGACGAATGTGCTCAGCACTGACGTGATTCCAATCGAAAACAGCAAAGGCATAACATCTTTACGGAGGAGCGTACTGGTCCAAGTCTGGCGTCCAGATTAACGGCCACCATTGGGCAGCGGTTGGGGCATGTTCCCCATGCTTGAACTTCAGCCACTCAATGAACCGGAGCTCGAGTGGCTCTAGATACTGGAAGTATGGCCCATGACGCGCCGGCGGCTGCGCCGTGGCGCCGTCAGGTCTCCAGGACGGGACGCCCCCCGGTAGTGAATTTGCAAACGTACAGCCTGCCGAAGCAGCCCAGGGGCGCATCTGCGGGTTGTCAACCCACTTGCGCTTGGCGTTGTTCAGCTTCATTCAAATTTTCCAGCGCGTCAGGAGAACTCTTTCTCATCGCTCTCAGCCTGTTAGAAATGATATTGGAGCAGCTTTCCCCTCTTGGGGGGGCGTCTAGACGTGGAGTCAGTCCTAGGCTCGCCCATGCAGCAACCAATGCATCTCTGCCAGGCGGCGTTCAATCGCCATTTCGGACGTTGTGTTGGTAAGTGACGGGGGTGAGGCATTGCAGACAATACCCAACGCCAGCCCCCACAGCATGGTATTGATGGCAAATGAACCTCCCATCGTCAGTCCACATTTTCCGCATGATGAGGGCCCTTTCTTCTTATGACAGTGTACTCTGCCCTGCATCGGCTACTTCTTCGTCGGGAAACACCCATGTTCCAATTGTGCCATGCGAAGAGGCCACCTCACTTGCAATCCATTCTTGAAAAAATTAGCCTGGCGAAAGACCCAACCATACGCAGTTGAGAGCGCCGCAATTGTGAATCTCGTCTTCGGTGGAGCTCCCTATGAGGCCAAGAACCGCGCGAGGGGCGTGCCGATGCAAGGCGGGGAACGCAATGCGGAAGAAGACGATAGGTCTGATAACGAGAGCCTGAGAGCGGGTGAGTCTGAGCACGAGTGTGTCTGATTGTGCATGAATCTGCGCGCGGGGGAGTCTACGTGGATGAATGTCGACGCCCATATCGGCACCCCCCTCGCGTGGATCGCCCCCGCTTCCCCCCGCTCTGTTTCCCCCTCTTTGCCCGCGCACCCCAGTGCCCATGGCTGCGGGCGCAGCGCAGCACGGGGCCCCCGCGACGCGCGCTGGTCGCCCCGAAGGGGTCCCAGCCATGCACGCGGGTCGTCCGATGCGCGGAGCAAAGCGAGCTAGCTGGCTGGCCGGGAGCGGGCAAGGCTCTGGTAAGGGAGTGCACGTCTAGACCCTGCGTCCGCCTGAGCGGTCGATTAAATCGACGACGCACATCGAACCTCAAATTTCGCATCGACCTGGGCATCGCCAAAGGCGGTTTCGCGGACGTGCTTCCGCGCGCGAGTGGATCGATCACATCACAACCCTATTCGTCGCGCTTTTCTGCTCACTTAAATAATCGGCGGCATGAGGTCTGCACAGACGGCGGGCCACGGAAGCTGAACGAGCCGCCCCAACAAACGCAATGTTTCAAGTTTGTCCGCGCACGGCCCGCGGCGATTGCTCACTGAACCAAGGTGTTCACCTTGCGGGTATTTGATTTTCGTTGGTTTGAAGAAGACCGCGAACCCGCGCGATCCCAAAATGGCGAGTTTCAGCCTCGAACGTGACATTTGCGATTGCCAAGGAATCGCAATGGTCCAACACATGGTGTTGGCAACATTCGTTTGGAACGCGCGAAGGTCATATGTTTTGCCGCGCAGCTCATGCGACGCAGCGCCCCGCGCTGTGGACAGCCCCCTGAGCGACGTATGTTGCGTCGTTTTTGCGACCGCACCTTCAGAGTGGCAACTTGCCCGGTGAGCGTTGCAGCGGCAACGCGGCATTCGCCCCACGGGGCGGGCGCGAGCAAACCTACTTGCGATTTGCATCGCGGATCGGGTGCTCCATTGGCACCAAGCTCTACATTGAGCCGAAGCGGTTTGGTCCAAGATAGCTACGGAGCAAAAGGAGGAGGAAGAGAAAAAAAAGAGGATGAGGAGGAGGGAAGAAGGAGGAGGAGGAGGCGGAGGAGGAGGGAAGAGGCGGAGGATTTTGGTTTAAAAAGCTTCATGCGGTTTCTGACGCTGCAGGGGAGATCCCCGAGCCAAGAACGCTCAGACGGAGTTGGGAGGAATTTCTGAGTTTCCACGGGCAGCTTGCGCGAGGGTTTTGGCAGAAGGCTCTTGCTGGTGATCGGCGGAATGGCGTCAGCCAGTGGATTAGAGAGGGATCTTGTTCTTCGCAGTGGGCGAAGATTCGAATACGCTGGCCGCTGGATTATCCCCCTCAGCGGCTTGCTGGCAAAATGCCTGCCTAACTACACAGACGCATGGATCCCCAGCCTCAGTCGATTTCGATCACGACGCGATCTGTGGCCATCCCCTTGGTCATCTGCTTGGTCGCCTTGGGTGGCACACGGTCCCTGGTTGCCTTGGAGCCGAATCGATGAAGCCAGACTCCAACCATGGGTTTCCAGACTCTGCTCCTGGTTTTCTTGGGGATCGTTTTGAGGTACTGGGTGAACGCCCTGCTCCGTTGTTCGTAGATTTTCTCGGCTAGCAGGAAGTCGCAACCGTCGTGAAATATATCCTCTTTCTGGCTGCCTCTAGGCCAACGCACGTAGACCCCAGGTTGCCACGACATGTCCACGGGCTTGGGCTTGATCGGAGTCTTCATGAGATCATCCTCGAACAAGTCTTCTTTCGAGACACTCGCCATGGCAAGTCCACGGGGCCGCGTCTGCCGCCGCCTGGCCGAGTAAAGGCAAGCAACTGACCATTTGGGCCGAACATCCACGGATGCAACATCATGCAAGCGGTTCCCGAGATCAAGCTGACAGATCTGATGGGTTGCCTCTCCCGAGTCGGACGTCGGAGGACGCAGCAAGCGACATTGTCTTAATCGTAGCCGCAAGGCTTCACGAAAAAACTCGGAGTCCTGAAACATGCCTCTCCAGGCTGACCGATCAAGACTCGCCGAGTGAGGGTGGAAGAGGTGAGGGAGGCAGGTGGTGATCTGAACCAGGAGTGAGAGAAGAAGAGAAAAACAAACGTATCCACCCCCATCTCTCTGGAGGTTGCGTGCCCCTGGTCTGGCACGCGCTGTCTCGTTAACGGCTAGGAGGTGTTGGCATACAAAACGTATCACAAGTAACACCTCGCTAGCTTCCCCATGCGCGTAGTGACCAGGCTCTCGCAGGCTCAGGGCGCGTCCTCACGCTGCCCCGAGCGCCAGGCTGATCGCCTTCATGGTCGCGTCAGCCCCGAACTCCTCCATCGCCTGCTCCATGGTCGTCTTGATGAGGATGCGCTCCTGCTCGGCGGCGTCCGAGCGCACGAACGACCAGCGCATGCCCTCGCACGGCTCCTCGCTGACAAGGAAGCCGATCACCAGGAAGCCCGCCGGGATGATCTGGAGCGTCCCAGGCTCAGATTTGAAAGCGAAGCCATGCGACCTCACCAAGCCGAAGAAACACTCCACGCTCATCTGACCAACTGCTTTCACTTTCTCCACCAGGGAAACTGGCAGGACCGCAGAGAGCTTCACACCGAATAGCACTTCGCTCCCCTGTAACGTGAGGCGACCCTCTGGCAGGCAGTTCGGAGTCAGCGCCACCTGGGACCACTCCTTCGTGTTGTGCCAGAACTGCATGTTGAAGGCGCTGTTGACCGCCTCGGTGCCCCCGACCTTGTTAAACGTCCTGGCGTCGATGGCGGCCCTGGCAAGCTTCGAGATCGCAGCGGCCGCCTGAGCGCTCACGATGTCGCTGTTGGCGCCGACGAGCCCGTTCTTCTGAATGTAGTTGCTCACCCAATTGCTGTGCGACTTGTAGTAGGGGAGCTGGATCACCTTGTCGGCGATGGCCGCCTTCAAGAGCGCTGGCTCGGTCCCGACGGATGCGCCAACCTCTGTGGCGAAGTACCCTGCGATCAAGTTCGAGCCGACGTGGTGCTTGAACTCGTCGCCCGCGCTCTGCACGGAGTGACGCAGCCTGCTGGAGCTCGCAAAGAAGCCCCAATCCCCGGGAGGGGAGGGGGAGGAGCTCGGGCAAGGGAACAAGTTGGGGCGAAAGAACGCCAGGTAGCTAATGGGCTACAAAGGTGGAGGAGGAGGAGGAGAAGGAGGAGGAGGAAGATATCGGGCAGGGGGAGGACGAGTAGGAGCAGGAGGAGCAGGAAGGAGAAAGGGAGGACGCGCAGGAGGAGGGGCAGGAAGAAGTGGAGTGAGAGGGAGGTGAGGAGGAGTTGGAGGATGAGGAGGAGATCAGATGAGACGGAGAATAGTAGGAGGCTCTAGCTTCATATGGTGGAGGAGGAGTTGAAGGAGGGGAAGGAGGAGGAAACGAGAAGAGGATGAACCTATTGGATGCAAGCCACTTGGCCTGGGGATGATCTGATGCTCGCGGCTCATCTTGTCCGCCAGGTGCTCTGAGCGAAGAGCGGCCGCGCTCTGGCTAGCCTTGCTCTTCCTGGCCATGTCAGCAGCCTTGGTGTAGTCCCTGACCTTGTCGGTGAGCTCCTTCAACCTCTCCACGAACGATTTGGTTGTCTTGTTGAATAGCTTCGGCGTTGTCCACTTCTGCTTCTCCTCGGCCATCGCCTTCACCATCTGCTTGAACTCATCCTCAGTAGACGGCTTCTTCAAGGCTGACCATTCAGCAGTGGCGGCATCGCTCTCCGTCTTGAGAGTAGTGAAGGCGAGGCGGCACGCCTCTGCAGTCTCGGTCATCTCCTTGGTGTTATCCGTGGTCATGTCCTCCAAGCCGAGCGACTCGGCAATGGCAGTGTCCATCTTCTCGCGCTTCGTAGTAACAGACGCGATCACCACAGCACTCTGTTTAGAAACCTCTGCATCCCACGCCAGCTGCAAGACCATCTTCGAGCGCTCCTTCTTCTCGCTGGGCTTCGTCGGGGTCCTGGACTGCTGCTCCTCAACGCCATCCTCCTGTTCCCTCTGCGCCTGCATCGCGAGGTCGTGCTGGCACGCTGCGAGGAACTTGGTGTCGTGTACCTGGGCCGTGACCTCGCCCTCCACGGGAGCGTAGGGCATCTGCTCATCTCCCGGCGTAGCAATGATCGGAATGATCGAAGAGCTCGTCCTCGCCCATTTTTTGCTTGTGTCGGTAGCCTCCGAAGCGAGCTTGCCCAGCTGGTCGGCGTTCTCCGCCACGCTCTTGCGCTTGATGGAGGTCGTGATCTTCTTCGACTGGCCCGACTTCACCTCGACGCCCTCGAACTCCCCGATGCACCACTGACCCCTCACGTACATCTTCATCGTGTCAGGGTCATCCAGGACACGCTTCCACTCCGTATCCCACTGCTGCTGCGTCCAATCCTTCTTTGACGGGTCCTCGACGATGCGCCTGCCCTGCCACGTGGCCCTCGGGACGTACTTATCAATCTCAGTGGTCCCTTTCTTCTTGATATCGGACTCGGAGACAGACACCTCCAGGTCACCCGAATCGAACGCACTGTTCTTCTTTCCCTTGCGGTCCCTGTAAAACCTCACCTTCTCCTCTTTGGACTTCTTCTTGAAACTATCCATCATCTTCCTGCGCTGGAGGTTGCGATCCGTGTTGCAGCAATCAGTGCACTTCCTTTTGTCAAAGGGCTTGTCCTTGTTAACTGGGTACGACATGCTGATGGTCGTGGGGTCCTCGCACTTCTCGCACGCGTACTCCACCACGGAAGAGGTGGCGCCCTGAACAGAGCCACAGTCGGAGGCCGCCGAGGCCATGGCGATCACGGTGTCGCTCGGATCGCTGAGGTAGGGGCCAAGGTTCAGATGCGCCAGGGCATGAACGGCTATGGAGACAAGACAACGATGCTTGATCGAACCAATCTGGGCCTTCGAACTCTGAGATAGGAAGCCGTCTGAAACCTACTTAGGCCAACCTTTCACTGTTCAAACCTCTCATGCTAGAAGACAGCACTGGAAAGTAACACCGGGCCCCCCTCCACATGTTTCACCGGAATCCCCTGGAGCGCTCGGCAGACCGAGTCAAGACACCTACTAAGGAATGCGCTGCCCACAACCCAGGCACAGAACGCTGCAGCGGGAGCACTGGCCTCATACCACTGGATACAGACTGGGATGGACGAGTGCGCGAAGCGCTTGAATATTTATGGTGCTGTTGTGTACATAATTAAACTATGACCGAAGAGCGTTGGCGTACGTATGCGCTGTAGTATGCATTGCTGTGTGTACGTGTGTTGCTGCCTTGTTACCTGCATTGAACGAATGGTTGTGTACGCATGATGCTGGTTTTGTCCTGGCCACCTCGAACAGAACGTGATATCAAGCTGGCCGCCATGATGATGCCTAATCGGCAAGGTCTCTTTTGTGCAGGCAACGCAGGCACATGGGCAATGGGCCTGAACTGGCCAATAAAATTCACCATAGCATCATTTCACGATGCAGGCGAAAACACTCACGTACGAAATCGATTGAAATGTCTCTCCCATGACGCGAGGACTGCGTTGCAAAATGATATCGTGTACGCTGCACTCTCGTGGAGGTGTTTGCCCCCACTCACTCTCCCACTGGCCTCCTCCCAGAACTTCGCCTTGTTTGGATGATCTCTTTTCCACTGGCGCAAGTTCATGGTGCGAATCAACAAACGGGCGGTTGGCATGTTGGTCAGCAAATGCGTGCACTTCGCCATGTCATGGCCAAAACAACCCATCCAAGTTGTGATCACCTTCAGTGTACCACTGCTCGCTGCAATCAAGTCCACCATGCTCGGGTGAGAGAACATCCAAGAGTTAGCTGGCTGCTCGACAATGACATTCACACCCCGGGTGATGAGGCAACGTAATATGGCACACACGTTCATAACGATCAGATTACTTAGGCGCACCTTCTTGTTGGACAGGTTGCCCAAGGGGTCAGCAGAAGATCGTTTGTGCACAGACGAAGACAAATAAATGAATAATGAACAAGGTGGTCCTGCCATCACCAAACCCAGAGGGACCAACCTCAGGCAGAGTAGCAATATCATGAAGAACCCATCTTTTGCGGTAATGTCGTGACGTGGATCGAGTAGAATATCGACAGCTGCACTCTGATACCCACACTCTTCGAACACTTTGTGACCTCTCTGGCTGGCTGAGAACATGTCGACCATGTGGAGATCTCGCTCCACGTCGTTGCTGGTCACAAACGTCATGATGTCCTCTGCGTGCTGGTCTGCCTGGAACCAACTGTCCTCGGCAACTGTGGTGGCCACATCATCGTCGGCGTGACCGCCTACAACCATATGGGGCGTTCGGCTTCTGCCGCGCGATCCGACTCCGACAGTTGAGCTCATCGCGAGCGCACGCGGCGCTCTGAGGCTGGGCTCGAGCGCCCGCAGCGCTCGGAAGCGAAACCTGAATGTGTCGAGCCCAAATGGCAACAGATAACTACATTGCACAGTGGTGCAGTTACCTCTTGTCCTACTGGGGGCTGTTTCAACCTCAGGGGCCCAAGAACCAGGACCCAAGGGCCCTAGGCCCAATGGAAGCAGGAGGACCCAAGGAACCAGGGCCAAGGATGCGGTTCGCCAAGGGCGCACAGGGCCAAGGACCCAGGGGGAGGAGGAGAAGGAGGAGGAGGAGGAGAGGAGGAGGAGGAGGAGGAGGAGGAAGAAGAAGAGGAGGAAGATGATGATGAGGAGGAGGAAGAAGAAACATATGAGTTGTTGTTTTCAAACAAGCTTGAACAAAAACAAAGAGAAAGAGGAGGACAGGAAAACTGAGGAGGAGGAAGCGAAAGAGAAGGAGGAGGAAACGGATGAGGCGTATGTTTCAATCAAGTTTGTAACCTCCACGGGCCTGAAGGACGAGGGCCCAAGGGCTCAAGGCCCAGGCGACGTAGAAAGACCCAGGACCAGGACCATGAATGAAGAACTCAGGGCTCAGTACGGGGGGATACCACTCATAGTCATGATGGTATCGAAAGTCTGGTTTGGCACATTCAGGTCCCCAGTGTAATAATGGCGTCTACGTTGCAGCCATCGGAGTCGATTGTTAATATTGTACATGCTTTGGTGAGCTTGCGTGCGGTTACGTACTTGCGATCGGGCTACTTCGAGGGGGATGATGATGATGAGGATGAGGAGGAGGAGGAGGAGGAGGAGCAGGAGGATACCCTCCCCTCCAACAAAGCCCCAAAGCGCAATCCCAGCACCCCCTCCCCCCAGCAGCCCCCCCCCCAAACGCGCGCACCAAACGCGACCCCCCAACCCAATCCCCCACCACGCCACAGCAGGACCGAACAACCCCTCAGCACGACCTCCGACATACACACACACACGCCCGGCAGAACTCCCAAGCACAACACCCTCGCACAACCACTGTGCACCACCCCCAGCACGACCCCCGACACCCCCCCTCCCCAATACACACACGCACCCAGCACAACCCCTAGGCGCCAGAAATATTGATGGCCCATGCGGCCCCAGTCGGCGTGCTCTATCTTTCTTTCTCGGTGTTTCCTCTCTCTCTCACTCTCTTTCTCTCCCTCTCTGAGGCAGTCGATTCACATGCGCTTCGCTCAATTCCTCTACTCTAAGTCGTTCGATTGTTCTCATCGGCATTTTTCTACACTCTCGGACGCCAAAGGCCTCCACGGTAGCATCTGAGACCCCCCCAAAGCCCCAAGAGGATTCCATATGATAAGCGAGATGCGCGTTGTGGGGTCCTGGCAACGATTTGCAACATTATGGCGACATTTTGCTTCGGGGTGTAACAAACGGCATGTGATTGCCAAACTGCGCTCCAAAATAGCCTCGCAACGCCAACACCAATCCTCACGATCCCCAAGACGGCCCCCCTCTGCTCCCAACCACCCCCCAAGACCCCAAACCCCCCAAGAAGCCCCGCGACCGCCCCACGACATTTCCGCGACATTTCCGCGACATTTCCGCGACATTTCCGCGACAATTCCGCGACAATTCCGCGACAATTCCGCGACAATTGGTGACGATTTCGTGTCAAATCTGCCCCGAACCTCCTTTCTGGGCCCTCCCGGGCCCCCCCTGCCCGCCCTTGCTCAAATCCCTCTCTCACCAACCCCCGACCGCCCGAAACTGTCGTTTCAGATCTCAATAATGCCGCTACGGGCGCAAGGCAGCGTCAATCCAGTCAATAGTCCCGATTTGGGAGCTGCTCCTCCCACTTAGCTACCAGATCAGGCGGCACTGGCGCGTGCTGGTGAACATCTTTGGGCTCACCTGGTGGGATGGCAGAGCCTACTTCATGCCATGCAAAAAGGAAAGCCACGCAACGCTTTGGTGTAGGGAACATGTGGAAAAACCTATCCAGTCGACATCTTGCATGTCGGCTACATTGCGTGAGTGCTCGGGGTCGCTGTGTTGTGTGAGAGAACCTATCGAAATGTACTGTGACCGACCTGCCATCAGGGAGAACTTGCGTAACAGGAATGCCTGCGAAATCTGGCTGGAGCGCAACTACTGACGGCATTGGTCCAAGCAACATGGGCATGCCTGGTGCGCCTGGGAGCGCGCCTGGCCCGACGGCATCGGCATCCATGATGGCTGCAGGGTCAGCTAATACATCAGGTGCCGTGCCCTTCAAGAGAGAAACAAAAAACTCATTTTTCTTTGAAGTGACATCGGGGCCTAATTCCTCGATCACTGTCAAATCTTCTAGCTCCAAGAGGCAAACGAAATAATGATGCGGGCACTTGCTGTACATCGCAGAGAGCCCCTTCAAAAACACCCCTGCATAGAAACATAGCGCAGCGAGCCGTGCTTTAGACCCCATGACCCATCGTGCATCAATCTGTCGGATGGTATCGAGCGTGATGGTCTCTTCCGCCCAAACACCCAACCCGAACGAAGCAAGTTGACTAGCAAATCAATTCGGGAAGCCTTGCCCCATGGTTCACATCGCGTCGGCCCAGCAGCGATTGTGCCAACGCAAGAATACGAATGCCTCAACACGACACCCAATCCAGCGGCATTCAACCTGTGAGTTGGGGGTCTTTCGACAATCGGGCCGTTTGGCTGGTTTTGCTGGGGCCCCCGGGGCCAGATGGCTCTAGGGACTCCAGCAACACCAGCTAGAGGAAGATGAGGAGGGGGAGGAGGAGAAGGATGAGGAGCAGGAGTGGAGGGTTGAGGAGGAGGAGGAGGAGGAGGAGGAAGAGGAGGAGGAGGAGGAGGAGGAGGAGGAGGAGGAGGAGGAGGAGGAGGAGGAGGAAGGAGAAAGAACCATATGATCTTGTTCAGTCGAGTTTGAAACATACCAACGAGAAGGAAGATGAGTAGAAGGATGAGGAGGACGAGGAGGAGGAGGATGGTGTCTCTGGCCACGCCATCGGAAAGGGGGGGCGGATGATAAAGTCTTGGGTGGGTTGTCTACTCCTCCCTGATCTCCACCTCCTGCGAATACTGCTGTCCCTCCTCATCCTCCCCATCATGTTTCTGTCGTTATTTTGGATCAAGCCATGTTGGATCAAGCTCCCCCCTGACATTATCTAACCCCCTGGGCACTTGTACAATGTCTCGCCGAACTCATCCAGCTCGGTTGATATAGCATTTGACTCCACCAAATCTTGTAACTCTCTGATGTTGACATGGGGAATATCCATGAAACTGGCAACGCCGCCTCTGTCCACGATTGCGTCCACTATGCTCTGCTTGCGGTTTGCTAGCGCGAGCACTCCAGCGTCTGCGAGCATGTCTTCTGGGGGCGGAGCGATTGCAGGTGGCGGCAAAGGGTGTGAGAGCTGGGGCTGGGCACGTTTCTCCAAGACAACTTCTTTCATGGACGCACAGCTGTGGCATGTAACCCAAGACATAATATCTGCAACTACGCGCCGAAAAACTGCAGGGTCGCTCCACACCTTGAGTGACACCTTGGTTGACCCATCCTGCTTAAAACTTAAGCGCACATCACGACCGTCTTGGACAACATTCATACCGATAACCTCGACGACCCCTGACTGAGGAGCAATGTGGCACTGCTGCACCACTGTGTGGTCCTCTGGGTTTGGATTGACCACGTACAAGAATCGATGACCGTGTATTTCGGGTGCGTGAGGTGGCGGCGGCACTACAGCCACAGTCTCCACAACGGTCCTCACATCTGGATCTCCTGCCTCTGGGTCTGGAAGAACAGCCAAATCGTACAAAACATTGGGCACACTGAAAACAGAACCTGCTGGAAAACGACTCTTCAACCAACCTACTACGATAGACTGGTTTGACGTCAATGGAAGGGCCCGCTTGATACGCTTGTCGTTTCGCATGTGTTCCCATTTGTCGTGGGCATCGGCCTCAGGACCCGCGTCAGGATGCAACGTGTCTACTCCGAAGCCATACGTCATCGCATATCGTTCTGAGTAAGTTCGAGGCAGCTTGGCATCGGGGCACAGAGGTTTTAGAAGAATGTCCCAAATGTATTTAGACCACATCAAACGGAAAAACTTATCCCCCTCCTCGTCGTCGAGCATGCTGATTGCATGCTGATGTCGCAAGTATGCGCAGATAGTAGCTGGCTTGAATCCAGATGCTGGGCCAGAGATCGCACTATGGACCTGAGAATGCAATTGCTCCACAGGTGTCTCGTCTTGCGCCGAGGCTGCAATTTCTTGAAACTCCACAAAGAGCATCGGAAAATCTTGGAGACTGGTGGCACCATCTGGAGCATTGGAATACACCTCGCACATGTGGCGCAAGCTGCTCCCCTGTTGCAAAATCCTGAGGCTCCGGGAGTGCTGGCGGTTGGGGTCCTAAGGGAAGAGGAAGTGTAGTGGTAGGCGTGCACCCATACCCCTAATACGATAACCTCCCAGCCCCTGGGCTGTCATGCTATCTACTTTGCTGTAGAGGTATACTAGGCAATCAAATGGCGTTGTACCTACGGCCCCCGCACGCACGCGTCGCTCAAACCTTGAACGCCAGAGATACGTATCACAACAAGGGCTCGCATGCATATACTACGACAAGGGCCCTGGGGGGATCTCCGAGGTCAGAACGCAACTACATGCAAACGCACTTGGGGCTACAAAGCAATGTGGATACAAAGCAACACAAAGCACCTTATCTTCACGCTTCGCGCTGTATGCGTTATCTTCGCGCCCTCGCGCTGACCGCAGGAAGAAGCGACCTCCTGGGCCAGACCGTGGCGCGCGAGGCTAGCAAGTCAAACAGACGTGGGGTTACAGCTATCGGGAGCAGCCCGGGTAGAATGCGCATTCGAGATGTG